ATTTTCTACTTTCTTTTGTTAGCAAAGCAAATGCTACGGATTGAATGCATTTGGGCCATCCATGGGTTCCTGGGTTAAGGATTCTTTTATAGGAGGGCTACTGGTTGTCAGTGGCCTCAGTGCTTTCGGGCTACACCCTTGTTTACACTGACAACAAAGGGGTATTATAGTGTTACAGGGTCATGGAGAAAAGCTTCAATTATCAATTACAGGTTTTAAATTTACCCTGGCTTTTAAAGAAATAGGGTACACTTTTTTTTTTTTTTTTTTTTTTACTACTTCTATCTTTCTCTTTCTCTTTTTCTTTCTCCTTTCTGTCTTTGTAGATGGATTTTGGAAACACAGTGGAAGGACATTCACTCGTTGCCCTCATTTGCCACTATAGGAATATGTGCCTCCCTTTTATTTACTCAATTTGCTTTCATCCTGATATATTATGTAGTTGTAGACTCAGTTCCAGTTGTTAAAGTACTGGGTTATCAGTTCTAAGGCCCTGGCAAGGGTGGTGGGAAATGGGTCCCACATAACTGCCCATGTCGAGAGCTGTATGCCTAAATTGGGAGGGACACCAGGGACAAAACTCCTTGGGTTCATAGCCTAGGGGCCTAAGGATGCAGCATAGAGCTTCCTTAGATCCCTTTGGAGATACAACCTGCTCTAATACTTGGGAGAGGAAGTGAAAGTCTGAAGCATTAGTATCTAGGAGGCAGGGATTGGAGGAAGTAGATTCAGAGGTACAGAGAATTTTGGGGCTACACTTTCAAGAAAGTCATGGTCAGGACCCAGGAGGTATGAGTCAGAAGGAAAGGTAGGGGCACACACATGGGCGACTGTTGAGTAGAGACTTCTGGCTGCACCATGATCTCAACCAGCTAAGGCCAGGAGTTTGGGATGACAGCTTTCTGCCTCTAGTCGGCCCTTGGCTTCCCCAGGAAAATTGAAAGTGGAAGCTGGTTCCAGGCAGACCAATGCTCCCAACCCAGAAGTGTTGGGGGTTGTTAGACAGCCCTTTCCCAGACAGCCTCACACCTGAGTCTTAAGTCCGGCGGCCACACTAATCGTTTTTAACCGGCCGACAAGTGCCCAGTATTTTCCTCCAGTTCCAGGGAAGGATAGGACAGAATAGTGAGTGAAAGTGGTCCAATATTGCTCACCACTTTGGAGGTCCCTTCATGGTCGCCAAAATGTTACTGGAGGGGTCCTTGTTCTTAAGAGTTCCCAAGATGGTGGCAAGCCTCTTGTTCTCTGACCTGGGGTTCTTGGCCTCACGGATTCCAAGGAATGGAATCTTGGGCCATGCGGTGAGTGTTAGAGCTCTATTAGAAGCTGTGAGTCACAGAAGAGAACCGTGGAACCCAGCAACTAGTGTTCGGCTTGATTAGGATGAACTTGGGCACTTAGCCATGCAGGAACAATGGTGAGCCTTTAGCCTGATTGGGAGAGGCAATGGGCACCTCACTGAATCAGGAGCGCAATGGACACCCTGTCAGATCCAGAGGGTCAGAAGCCAGCGGTGGGTCTGTGATGTCAGCAAACAGCAATGGTGGACGGTGAGTGAAAGTTCAGCTCGAGCCGTAACAAACACGGATGAGAAGAGTGTGCAGTTGCAATATTTAATAGAGTGAAAACAGAGCTCCCGTAAACTGGGAGGGGACCCAACCAATGTCTTGTTAGAGGCTATTCCTCCTCCAGGTTTTCTTGTGCACACTGGATCTGGACCTTTGCTGAATGCTTGATAAAGGTGATTACAGACCAAGGGCTTATCTACAGTACAGTTCACTCCTGTTGTTTAAAGGATCAGTTAGATGTCAAGGCATTGCCATATTGATGACAGACATAAAGTTTCTTCTCCATGTAAGTTCTCTGGTGTTTATAAAGTTTAGAGCTACTGCTGAAGGCTTTTATGCATTCATTACATTTATAATGTAGGTTCTCCCAGGTTGTCCATAGTCAGAGAATTGACTAAAGGCTTTCCCACATATCTGACATTCACATGATTTTTCTCCCCTATAATTCTTTTTTTTTTTTTTTTTTTTTTGGTGTTTGTGTAAATCAGGTGAGAGCTCTTGATACAGGAGATAGAAAGAAATTATTCAGGCAGATAGTGAGGGCAAAAGAGTCCTCGACAGAACTTCCCTTCTAACAAAAAGCAGCCCAAGAAAGCATTTCTTTTCTAACAAAGAGAAGCCTGAAAGATTGAGCTGCAAGCATCGATAAGGAAGCTGGAAGCTTGAATGCGGGGAGGCCTATAGCTAAACCCATAGAAAAGGGCTACTTGAGGCCAGGCATGTCCACCATGAGGCTCCACTTTCCCTTTTTTTGTTACCATGTCTACAGTAAGAAAGAAATAAGCAACATGGAGTAGCTACACACCTGCATAATCAAAGATTGGGGTGGGGGCTGCCAGAGATTCATGGCCTATGCAAATGACACAACTGGTCCTAACCGGATTTTCGTGTCCTGTGTAGATCAGACACCATCTCCCCACTAGCTCATCTATAAAAACACCCTGCATTTCACCACAGATTGGCAACCTGTTTTCCTGGGACCCCTCTCTGTAGCAGAGAGCTATTCTCTTTCTTTCACCTATTCCAGTTCTGCTCTAGACCTCACCCTTGTCTGTGTCCAGGTCCTTAATCTCCGTGGCCATGAGACCAAGAACCTCCCCGCAGTCAACAAGGCCACTTCACTCTGATCTAAAATCCTGGTCACAGTCATTTTATTTCTTTAGTGCAAATTCCCTCATGCTTACTAACCAGAAATTTGGCCACTTTCTTCCACATAAATGAACATTCATATCATTTCTCTCCATTGTGAATTTGCTTGTGTCGGCTGAGGGATAAAGGATAACTGATGGTTCTTCCACCATCATTACATGTACAGGATTTCTCTGCAGTGTGAATTATGTGGTGTGAATAAAGCTGAATGCTTAGGTAGAATTCTTTCCCACATTTACTATATTTACAGAGTTTCTCCATCATGCAAGTTCTTTGGTGTGAATAAAGATTATACTTTGAGATGTTTCCCAAATTTATTGCATTTATAAGATTTCTTTCCTGTGCGAGTTCCATGGTGTGATTAAATTTGGTGTTCTGACCAAAATGTTTCTCACAGTAATTCCATTTAGAAGGTTTATCCCCAGTGTGGATCTTCTTGTGTTGTCTAAGGCCAGAGTATGTACTAAAGGCTTTTCCACATAGATGACATTCATATACTTTCTTTCCAGCATGAGTGGGCTCCTGTTGTCTAATGTGAGATCAATGATTAAAGATTTTCCTGCATAGATGACATTTATAAGGCTTAACTCCAACGCGAGTTGATTTATGTCAACAAAAGGACTAGCAGTCACTGAGAATCTTTTCACAGTGATTGCAGGCATGGGGTTTTTCCATGTGGGTTATCACGTGCTGAGTAAATGTGGAGCTGGGATGGAGATTTCCCCACACTCACTGTATTCAAGAACTTCTCTCCAGTGTGAGTTCTCTGTTGTTGGGAAGGCTGCTGAAGGACTGATTAACCTTACACTTTCATTAATTTACCTATAGATAGATTCTGGAGTGATCGTTTAGTGATAGTCTCCAGTCAAAATCCCTTCCATATCACTATACACAAATCTATGTTAGTTACACACAGACTCTCTTGCATGCACAGAGATTTTCTCTTTTGTAGCATCTCAATGGTATAACTATCTGATGTATTTTCAAGGCTTCATTATGTTTCAGAGATGAGGTATGAGCCATGTCTATGCAATTGTCCTGACTTCCTAAAGAATTCAGGTTATAATTTTGAGCTCAGGTTAATATCTTTCCTAAATTCAAATATCCAAAACCATCTGAAGGGACACACTCCCAGCTCCAGTTAAAGCCATGTGACTGGGCTGTGTTCGTAACTCAGCCCATCCCCAGGTCTCTAATCTGGAGGAACAGGGTTCACCCCCATGAAGCTTATCATTGACAAGCCGGTAGAGGGACTCCTTCCTACAGAGAAAGTGTATGGACACTATTTCTTGTTTTTAAAGGCCACCCTGTCTGCCTAAAATAATTGAAAAAATTAAATTGCTAGAGTGGCATTAGGAGGATGAACACAGGGAAAAGGATACAAGGCTCACGTGGGTAGGTTTCAAATACTGGCTCTCACATAGCGGAGACATGTGAAATGGAGGAATATACCAGTGACTAGGAAGACATTTCGGGAAATTAAAAATTTTAAAGTATTTTCGAGAACAAAGAGAAAAAATAAAGATGTGACTTTGGGGAGGTCATGAAAAGGAAAATCATCAAAGGCAAGGGACCAGGGCAAAGGTCACAATGTGAAGCTTTAATTCTAATGAAGACGTGAATAGACATGAAAGAAACTGGTATAGATATGAGAAATAATAACAGTATGTATGGAGTTTTTCTCCCAATGGCTTCTCATAGTTTTCTAAAAACATTATTCACTCAAGGTCATCTGCATTCGAAATTATCAAAGTTCTGTCCCTCACCGTCCAGGCACCTCCTGTACTGAGCCTATCTGTCTGCAGCTCACCTGGATTTGGGCTCTGGGGAAATCCTTCCTTCCCTCCACAGCACTGCTCCTTGCTTCAGCTGGGAAATCATGAATGATTTGCAGAGCTGACGCTCTGTGGGGAAAGTTGCATGGATTTCGAATTCTGTGTGAGAACTGTGCGTGATCTTCAGATCTAGGGCAGGCTCCCAACAAGACAAGGCGAGCATGGAAGGGCACCCGGGGAAGAGCACCTTGAACACCAAGGACACTGAGGGCCCTTCCCTGGAGTAGGAAGGAGAACCCCTGACACCAAGCTCCAGACAGTCTCAGAAGCAGTGAAGATTTAAATATTTCCACAGTGGGTTGTGGAATTTATTCTCATAATTAATCCAATAAAATTAAGATCCATTGAAACAATCTAGGTTCTATTGGGAAAAGAAAAATGGCTATTATTTTTATTACTGTGGTCTCAAACCCTAGCTTAGTGCTTAAAACAGTATTGTCACTTTAGTAAAAATTTAATCCATTTATTTATTCAAAAAAATAGTCATTGAGTTCCCGGCACTGTTCTCAATGTTGGAGATGGAGTAGTAATAAAGACAAAAAGCTGTGGTCAGGAAGACATGTTCTAGGGGTTGATAAACTAGATTTAAGTAAACAAACAATGCTGAGGCAGTTGTAAGTGCTGTGAAAGAAAACAGATGAGGATAGAGACAAAGTAGCGTATGTGGAAGCCGCCTGGCCTGACGGGCTGAGCACCTGATGAATCACCTGCCTCCATACCTGACCTTCAGCACCTGCTGTCACACATCCCTGTCACCTGTGGTCACCACACACCTAAGACCCCTGCAGCCTCTGACATGGTTGATTGAGTGAGTCATTTCCCCAACATGGCATTGGATGGATGAGAAAAAGATAGCCCTTCACTTATGTTCCCTGAAAGGATATCCTCAATGGAGAATGAAAAAATGGGTGCACGTGTTGGGAAGGACATGATCTCATGATCAGTTCCTGACCTGCCATGATCATTCCAGGGTTCTGGAAAAACAGAACTTTCATGAATACTTCCCGGACACACTTACTAATAGAAGATCCAGGCCGAGAGGAGAAATGTGCTCATCTGCTGGCAAAAGGTAATCAACTCAGGAGAAAGAGCAAGTCCCCACGCACCCGTGGGTTCCTCGTCAGGAACTCGGCCGCCACCTGTCTTCCTTCACATTCTCCCTCAGGATAGTCTGAAAATTAAGCAGACAAAGCTGAAGAAGGATGAAGAAGCCATGAGACCTTGGTCTTATTCACCCCGTCCTGGACCTCCAAGCCTTCATCTGGGAGTGAGTGCCACCAGGTCCAACCCACATGCACCTGCAGGGTGATCTGGGTTACCTTTTTTCCCAGGTAAAAACGAAGAAAGTTTTGGCTAGAGCAACTCATAAGGAACATATGAAAATCCTCACTTTGTAGAAAAATAAGAGGACAATTATAGTGTTTTATGCTTTGCTTAGACCTGGTATTCAGGGATATCATGTAATTCCCTCCCTGATGGCAAATCCTAGGAGGACCTGACTCATACCGCATGGTGATTCTTGTTTGCACAACCAAGAACAAAACTTTGTGACTTAATACTTCTTGGTTAGGTGCATTAGCATTCTTTCCCTAACACCCAGCCCTGCAGAGCGACAACCTCCCTGCTGTGCCCTGCCCTCACCCTCCCTGTCCTGTCCCGCCCTACCCCCTTCCTCTCCATCCTGCCCCACGCTGTCCCCTGCCCCCACCCTCTTGCACTTGCCCTCAATCATCTTGACTCCGCAACGTGTGGGTTCAGGCAGCACCAGAGACTCAATCCTAGCTCCATGCCCCAGGGCCTGAATGTGCAGCCAAGCACCTTTGGAATCTGTTAAACAGTGGACATAACAGTTCAAAGCCTCATCCCCTGTTGGAGGGTTGTGGCTCACTATGTTAGTTTAGCAACAAAACTCCTTTTACCAAAAAGAAGCGGGAGTGAGCCCTTTCTAATGCTACTACTGTGTCTCACAATCACCCTACGGCAGTGGAGCTCCTAGAATACAGGAGGAAGGAGCTTAGTTTTGAGGGACATTTGACTCCTTTAGAAATCTTAGTGAAATGGTAGTTGGAGTTCTGCCTTAGTAATTGGCATTGGCAGGAACATCTCAGCATTTCATAATTTATGTATTTGAAAGCATTTGTCAATAGTAGACTACTTTCTAGAACAATGTGAATAATTGGATGTATTGCATGGACGGATAGTGATAATGAGTCATGAACAGGGTGGGAAGACAACTCTTTGAGTGAGGTCCCCAAAAGAGAAAAGAATTCCCATAGCATCAGCTGAGACTCTGTGAATCACTTCCTTGCATTTGCTTATTTAATCCTCACAATATTTGTGCTACGTATGGGTAAGCTGTCCATATAACAAGTGATGTGAAGTTAAGTTCTAAAAGCTTTATGAATGTGACCAAGTCACATGCTACAAAATGACAGAGCTAGAATTTAAACCAAGCTCTGCCCATCTCTGTCTCAAATTTCTACATGTGTTTGTCTTGAGAGAGGTGCACACCAGAGCCAGGTTTTACCGGGATATGTCTCCTGTCTGACCAGCCAGGAGAGGCTTTTCCTTGTTATCACAGCCTTGTCTTTTCAGTCTGTACGCACAGTCCCTACCATACCCCATGCCCGGGTTCTACTCCATACCCCAAACCTCAGCTCCCACGTCTCCCCATTTTTACTGTAAACCAAAAAGTGCCTGAGACAGATCTTCATTGATTAGAGGTTTATTTTGCCCAGACTGAGGATGTACCCAGGAAAAAGAAATGCAAGTTACAACAGGATCTGTGACCTGTCCTTTTCCCAAATTGAAACGCCATGCTCATTAAACAACAGCTCTCTATTTCCCCCTCTCCCCACCCCCTGACAGCCACCATTCTACTTTCTGTTGCTCTGAATTTGACAACTCCAGGTACCTCATATAAGTAGAATCACACAATATTTGCCCTTTGGTGACTGGCTTATTTCACTTAGTATAATGTCTTCAAGGCTCATCCAATTGTACTATGTGCCAGAAGTTTAAGGCCAAATAATATTTCATTGTATGTTTATACTACATTTTGTTTATCCATTCAACTATTGAAGGACACTTGAGTAATGTTACTTTATTTTATTTAGAAATTCACCAAGGGATATCTCTTTTGAAATTCTTTTTTTTTTTTTTCCCAGAGCAAATTTCCCTCTAGCAAATTCAGCATTGGGGACTAGCTGCTTCTGGCTTGTGAAGGGAAAAAGGCCTTTGGCTTTTTGACCTGCTATTTTATCAGTGTTTCTTGTCTCCTTGAACTTGTATGTTAAACTAGGCTTATCTGACTTTAAAATGAACAAATTGACATCCACTTACACTGCATCTTCTGTCCCTTCTCCCTCCCCACTGTATGTTCTTTTCTGCTAAAATGCTTTAGTTTTGTCTTATTAACATATAAAAATTTTCCCATCTCAGCCTTGACACCTGCACATTACCTTATGATGGAAATCTGCTACCATCATAAGAGCTCTACTTTTCCCTTATATTGTTAATTTAAAAGCAATTATAAGGCTGCATATGAAGTATGATAGTAAAGGAACTGACTTTTGCACATATGTCTAAATGAATGTTGTCCTTCAGAATGATCCCCTTCTTATAATGTCAGTGGAATTGTCTTCACATCTATTTTATGAGTTTTATTACTTTACAGTCTCAGGGTGCTTTCATGGTTGATTACCTCCTCTGCTTTTTTTTTTTTTTTTTTTGAGACGGAGTCTTGCTCTGTCGCCCAGGTTGGAGTGCAGTGGCCGGATCTCAGCTCACTGCAAGCTCCGCCTCCCAGGTTCACGCCATTCTCCTGCCTCAGCCTCCCGAGTAGCTGGGAGTACAGGCACCCGCCACCTCGCCCGGCTAGTATTTTTGTATTTTTTAGTAGAGACGGGGTTTCACCGGGTTAGCAAGGATGGTCTCGATCTCCTGACCTCGTGATCCGCCCGCCTCGGCCTCCCAAAGTGCTGGGATTACAGGCTTGAGCCACCGCGCCCGGCCCTCCTCTGCTTTTTGACTCAATTTGGGCACATTCCACCTTTCCTGATGCTGTCCTTGACTGTAGGACCAGACAGTGAAGTGGAGGTGGAGGACATGAAGAAGAGGACTATTTCATGACAGTTTTTCTCATGTACCGGCTGCTTGTTAGAATTTTAAGTTAGCATTGGTTAAGTTAGAATTGGTTGTGCACCAGAAACCCTAAATCTAACTGCTATAACTCCATAGCCCCAGATGCATATACGGAAGCCATTTCTATCCTTTCTCCTAGCTTCTCATTGCATCACTACATCCTACCTTCACTGCTGACTACATATGCCATGTATAGTTGTGCAGGTTGTGCACTGACCGAAGGCACAATATCACAGAAATATATATATATACACACACACATATAAAAAATATATGCACACACATATATACATGTGTATATATACAGATCTATATCATAACAATTTCCAGAAAGAAGTAAAGAAGGTGCATTGAGGAAAGGGAGCCTTTTCCTGCTCCCTATCAAAATATCATGGCCTAGCAGCAGCTCTGCCTTTCAAGATCCCATGGTTGCATACCTTAAGACATTATAAGGTCTGAAAAGTATGACTTAGTAGTGGCTGATACCTAATTCACAATTAGCTGATTAATTCACTATTGCCTTATCATATAGTGGTTTGAGCATAGCCCTAGGTCAGTTTTTAGGAACTCATTATTACTGGGCTCTCACTCAGCTCATTGGTTATTTTAGTCTAGAATACAAGATCAGCTTTAGACTACACAAGGAAGGAATTGACTACATGATATAATATGGAGGCTTTTGTTCAAAACTATCTCCTCCATTGGCAGTTTTAGTACATAAGATTCATGACGAAATTATTGAACTGGAGGGAACTTGCCGATATAACCATGAAAATCATGAGTCATAGGTTCCCTCCAGTGTCTGTCCCACCTATCTCAACCACACAGGCATTACCAATATCACAGCACTTTCCTGTTGTGTCTGGATGCCCTTCCTAATCCAGAGCTTCAGGCAACCCACATTTCTACTGGAGTGGGCATGCATATAAAACCTATTTGTCAACTTTGAATTCTAGTCCAGGAGAATCATTAAAATACAAACACCTGGGAGGAAAAAAATACCTTCAGTCTTCACTAATACCGCAGGAGGACCTGTCACCCAGCATATGACATGAGAGTCTCATTTGATTACTCTTTCTCCGTTGATCTATACAATCAACCAGAATATCTGTCATTCAACGTGCAAAATAACTCTCAAAGTTATTTCTATGCCCTTTCCACCACGACTACTAGCTTTTCTCGCTCCTGACCACCTGAATTGTTGCAGCAGTCTTCTATGCACGAGCTTCTCCTGAGACCGCTCCCACTCCAGCCTACGCTGCTGGAAAACCCGCCTGGATGATGGGAGCTACTGCTTGAGACAGACAGTCACACCCCACTGTCTGTAGACAAATGGCCAGACTCTTGTCCTGGTCAGGTTTAAGAAGATATTTTAAGAGTCTTTGGTGCGTCTTAGGGAGGGAACTGGATTTTCTTAGAAAACACTTTTATTAACAGGTATAGATGAGGAAGGTAAGTCCTTCATGGGTATGGACAAAACGAGGGAAGACAAACTGCACAGCACAGGAATGAACAGGAGTTCCAGAGTTGGGGTGGGATGCAAGGTTGTAGGGAGAGCAGAGGAGAGGAAAGGGGTGTGTGTGTGTGTGTGTGTGTGTGTGTGTGTATGTGTGTGCGCACGTGCGTGTGTATGAAGGGAAAGGATAGAAATCTGCACAGATGCGATCCCAGTGGTAAAGTGGTCAAAGAAACAAGTGACACTGCTATACATGTATACTGGAATCGAATGATTTAGTAAATGGATGGCAGATGGTGCAAGCCAGGTTTAGGTAGATGATCCTAAAATGATCCATGTGGCAATGTATTAGAGTTGGAGACCTCAGTAGGAACTCCTCTTTATAGATAGAGTGTTACCTATAGAAACATTTATTGCTATATGTATATACAAAGGTTAGTGCACATACACACACTTCTTTGCTCTATGAGCTAAGAACACCTAGAAGCAACAACACTCCAGTAGCACTAGCACACCTAGTACCCAAATCTTGGTTTCCAATACTGTTCTCCAATAAAAGAAAACAGGGATTCTTGGAGAAATGGCTGATTCTAGGACTGGGGCAGGAAATACACAAGATGAGTCTGGAGTTTCTTGGGAGTGCCAGGAAGTAAGAAAATGCTGCCGGGCGCGGTGGCTCAAGCCTGTAATCCCAGCACTTTGGGAGGCCGAGACGGGCGGATCACGAGGTCAGGAGATCGAGACCATCCTGGCTAACTCGGTGAAACCCCGTCTCTACCAAAAAATACAAAAAACTAGCCGGGCGAGGTGGCGGGCGCCTGTAGTCCCAGCTACTCGGGAGGCTGAGGCAGGAGAATGGCGTAAACCCGGGAGGCGGAGCTTGCAGTGAGCTGAGATCCGGCCACTGCACTCCACCCTGGGCGACAAAGCAAGACTCCGTCTCAAAAAAAAAAAAAAAAAAAAAGAAAATGCTAAGACAAAAACAAAAATCTAGACACTCCACAATGATGGGAGTATGTCAAGGCGGCACAGAAGCCAACAAAAAGAGCTCCCTATAACATACACTGGCAGAATTTGAATGATAAAATTAATGAAGTAGTACTGTATTATAACTCCAAGCATAAAATAAATATCCATGAGTCTATACAGATACAAATAAATGATTGAATAAACTAATAAAAGGAGAGAAGAGACAAACTCCTGTGCAGTAGAATTCCAAAGAATTTATGCAGATTCTCCACCCTCAAGGAAGGAAAGCATGATGCCCCACTCCCTGAGTGTGGGCTGCACAGAGTGACTTCCTTCCAAAGAGTATGGAAAGGGGTTAAAAAATAAAAGAGTAACTTTCCAGTGGAGAAACGTGATAAATACTACCTCCGTTGACCTTGACCTGATCAAGGTCCACATCAGCAGTCACAAATCATGTTGATAGTGTGAACCCTTGTGATAAAAATCCCAATACAGATGCAAGATATTAATAACAGGCGGAAAAAGGTGTGGGGCATGTGGGAACTCTCTGCACCATCTTCTCAATTTTTCCATAATATAAAGCTATTCTAAAAAATAAAGTATATTTTTTAAAAAGACTCAAAAATTGAAATGTTAGATAAGCAATTTCAAGTTATTTATGATGCTGTGATATTAAACCCATCTGTCTGCCTAAACCAGTAAGAAGATCTAGTGTGCTCATGCATCCTGGGATGATGGTATGGTGGGAAATAAAGCAACAGGGCAACAAGGCCTTGCATCTATCCTTCTCCTGAGACCCTAGGAAAGGGAGACATATGCTCCAGAAACGGAATCCAATACAGGCAGGGTGGTCATTATCAACAGGAAACTTCTGTGGCCATGGCACAGCTGGCATGGCGGGGAGGAGCAGCTTCATGGCAGGCACTTCAGGAGGAGGTCTGAGACCAAGCCGTCTTTCTCACCTTCATCAGAGGAGGATCAATTGAGATCTAGTCAGGAAAACTATTTAAGTATTTCAAACAGAAGAAATTTAATACAGGGGTTTGATTCCAAAGATGTTGGCAGGGTTAAGAAGCACCAAAGGGAGAAGAGAGATTCTGAGGAAGGAAAACTGAAAGAAGCGATGCCCAGAGATCAGAAGCTGTCAGTTCCAGATCAGCTGAGAAGAGGGGCCTTGATGACAGGGGTCAACTTCTGAAAAGATGTAGCCTCCCTGGGGCTGCTGAGTCCAGAATCACCCCGCCCTCACTGCAGCAAGTGCCAGCAGCCACTAGCCGCGGCCACGCTAGAAGAGCTGACACAGAAACATCTCTCCTCTGCCCATTGATCTTCCTCCAGGGCCCTCTCTTGGCAGGGCATGATGGGAAGCCTGGAAGATGCAGTGAGCACACACTAGGCCCAGCAGTGTTCAGAGCAGAGTGCGAAGATGAAGATGGAGGCTGACACTGCTATTGAGTAGCCAGGAAAGAAAGTAACCCTTGATGAGGGTGTGATTGACACCCTGTTTCTACTAATCCTCATGGCCTTCCTTTCGAACATTATTTATACCTTCACTTCCTCTTCTTTTTTTTTTTTTTCTTCTTTTCACGATGGAGTCTCACTCTATCAACGACGCTGGAGTGCAGTGGTGCGATCTCAGCTCACTGCAACCTCTGCCTCCTGGATTCAAGTGATTCTCCTACCTCAGTCTCCTGAGTAGCTGGGATTACAGGTGCCCTCCACCATGCCCAGCTACTTTTTGAATTTTCAGTAGAGATGGGGTTTCACCATGTTGGTCAGGCTGGTCTCAAACTCCTGACCTCAGATGATCCACCTGCCTCAGCCTCCCAAAGTGCTGCGATTGCTGCGCCTGGCCAATATACCATCGCTTCTTGTTCTCTGCTCCTCCCGCCAGAGATCCCCACTATTTCCTATGGAAACCTTTCCCTCCCCAGCATCCTTGCCTTTGCTATTTCCTGAGGGATGCCCCTGCCCAAGATGTGTAAGTCCAAATCCTCTATTACATCTTTTCAAATTCAGCCCACGTAGGTCCTGCTCTGCAAAGCTTTCTCTCTCTCACTGTTCTCATCTGCAAGCAGAAGTATGCTAGTTAAAAGAAAGAAAGAAAAAAAAAAAAGAATCCCTGGTATGCAGCAACTGCGTATTTCCAGGGTGCAAATAATCCCAGAGGAACAGTTGCTAACTGTCAGCTCTTGTGAGCCTGTCAGCTGGTCCTGGCATGGCAAACCACAGTCCATGACCTGGAAGCATAACTCCCTGTTGTGAAATTCCTTAGCCATTCATGCGACCCCGCGACCCAGTGAGCTGTCACCACATTTTGCTATGCGTGATAGTCATTTCTTTGCAAGTCTGCACTCAACTCCAGAAAAGCATCCTCACATAGGGAAATTCATGGCTTAAAATTCCAGCCCTATACTCCCAGCTCTGTGACTGGTAACCCTGTTACTTGCCAAGCCAAGTAGCTGGTAACCCTGCCACTTACCAAGTGTTGGGACACTCATCAAATGTTCAGAGCCTCAGTTTCCTCATCTATTAATGACAGCAGCAATGTAAATCAGTACAGCCATTAAGGAAGACAGTATAGAGGTTCCTGAAAAAATTAAACATACAACTACCTTATAATCCAGCAATTCCACTTCTGGGTATGTACCCAAAAGAATCTATGGTGGGGTCTTAAAGAGATATTTGTACACCTGTGTTCACAGCAGCATTATTCACAATACCCAAAAGGTGGAAGCAAATTAGTTTTAGCTCTTCCACCATCTATACATTTATTAAAAACATCATACAACACATCATAAATATATACAATTTTTGTTGATTTAAAAATTAATTTTAAAAAGTTGTTTTTTTAAAGAACAGCAACAATGGCAACCCTGCCCCACAGGGGTGTTACAAGAATTAAACGAGTGTATTAGTAGTTTTCACACTGCTATAAAGCACTGATGGAGTCTAGCTAACTAATAAACGAAAGAGGTTTAATGAACTCACAGTTCCGCATGGCTGGGGAGGCCTTAGGAAACTTACAATCATGGCAGAAGGTGAAGAGGAAACAAGGACCTTCTTCACTTGGTGGCAGGGGAGAGGAGAGAAATGCTGTGAAGGGGAAACTTCCAAACACTTTTAAAACCGGCAGGGTGTGGTGGCTCACGCCTGTAATTCCAGCACTTTGGGAGGCCGAGGTGGGTGGATCACCTGAGGTCAGGAGTTCAAGACCAGCCTGACCAACATGGTGAAACTCCATCTCTACTAAAAATACAAAAATTAGCTGGGCATGGTGACGGGTGCCTGTAATCCCAGTTACTTGGGAGACTGAGGCAGGAGAATCACTTGAACCCAGGAGGCGGAGGTTGCAGTGAGCTGAGATTGTGATATTGCCCTCCAGCCTGGGCAACAGAGTGAGATTCCGTCTCAAAAAAAAAAAAAAAAAAAGGCCATCAGCTCTCATGAGAACTCCCTATCATGAGAACAGCATAGGGAAAATCACCTCCATGATCCAATCAGCTCTCACTAGGTCCTTCCCTTGACATGTGGGGATTACAATTTGAGATGAGATTGGGGTGGGGACATAGAGCCAAACCATATCAATGAGGTAACAATGCAAGTGCATTGCATAACAGTCCCTGGCACAGTGCAGAGGTTTAATAAATGTTAATTTTCTCCACTCCTCAGGCTTTGAACACTCTAGAAGAGAAGCCATATTACAATTCATTTTTTAATTACCCTAAGTATCAAAAACACTACCTTGTAACTTGTAATTGTTCAAAACTATGCAACCGCTCAAAAATAGTGTTGTTAACCTATCCACTGGAAATATGAGAGGGTTGACAGTGAGGGGAGGGGGCAGGGAGGGATGAGCCCAGAACCCCACTGGGGAAGTGGGGATGGGTTGGGAAGAGACAAGGGAGGCAAGCAGCACAGGGAAATGGTGCTACTTACGCCCAAGATCCCCAGAGCTTACAGGGCCTCTCCGGCATCCCCCTCCCTCAGGCCTTCTTACCTCCACTGGGTGCACACTTACTATTGCTTACTCTTTAATTCTGGTTGCGGCTGAGCTGGACACCAGCGTCCTGGAACACCAACCGCCTTCTGGGTGGCAATAATGACAGCAGCAGCTATTTCAACTGCAGCTGCTAATGGTATTTCAATATACTTAATCCCACGGGGCAGAAGTTGGCAATAGCATCCAGCAGCAGGAAAAAATGCTAACAGGGAATGCTGGGCTTAAGGAGTTTAGTACAGAAATGGCAAATACCCCATAATTTCTTACCTTTTTCATCTAATAGGATACCTATCAACTAAACCTTACCTAAAACCTAAAATGCTTGAAATCTGCCTAGAAGCTTCAGTCTGATTTTGCCCATAGGTCAAGTGCTAATGAACTGTTCTTTTCTTCCATTTCTGCTCCTCATCTTTAATCTAAAAACCACGGAGTCATGGAATGGGAAAGGCCTAGAGCTCCACTTGCTCTAATTACTTCTCTTTTCAAAAACCATAGATCTAAGGCAAACCCAAAAAGTCAGCCACGAGGAAATGCAGACTTACAGACAAAATCGATTTGTTCCAAACCGGTGTGCTCTGGGGGCCTGGCCCCTCTGGAAACCCAGGGCTCAGTCTCCCATGCCAGGTGTTTTGTCACTTGGCAGCCTCCTCCGACAGTCAGAGTCAGGGAGCTGGGCTTCTCGAAAGAAGTCCATTCCATCTATGGACAGCATGCACAGCAGGGGCGATCAGCCTTATTCAGCAAACCGCTCAGCCTGTTTCCTCCTAGTCAGGGATTCTCAATACGTTTAGGGGCGCGGTAGGATGGAGGGAGATTTTATCAGAATCACGGCACTTGCACTATAGTTTGAAAGATGTAACATAAAGCTCCTGCTTTAGTACCAGCTGCCATATTTCTTTTTCTTGGAGGTTTCTAATAAATCTAAAGGAGGGTGTTCTATTGAGTTGAGCAAAATGGCCTGAGGTTCCAAGAACTAGAGCTGCTGCTGACTCCAGTTGCTCCGTATAGCTGAAGATGAGCTCTTGAAGCCTGCAGATCCCAAATCTGGGATCTCTCTTGACGTAGCATCACACACATCTGTGTGTACTTGTCTTTTTTTCCTCCATGGGACCAGCTCTCAGCAGATCCAACGACAAGATTCTGATTGTGGATCTTCTGATACATCTTGCTTGTAATCATTCAATAAATGCTTTCTAAACACAGGTACCTCCTATGCAATAAGTACAGCACTTATAAAACAGATCAACAAAAAGACTGAATGAAACACACATGACAACGTGTTCATGGTTTATCTCTAGGCAGAGACAGCGCAATTTCATCCTTTCTTCGTCTACCCTAAATTAATATACTCAGCACTGCTTTTTAAAATAATAATAAAAAACTATTTTTAAAAGAAAAGCACCCCAGTTGATCATAGCCAAGGAAAAAAAAGACGCAGCCAGTTTTTATTTCGGCAAGGTTTAGGGGATTTATCATTTTCGCTGCCGATATTCTAACTAAAAAAAACCCAACTACACAGCCCAGAGAACGAGGCAACTTTCTGAGGCAGGCATTCAACAACTTCAAAAGCTCGGCCAAGTTTAGCAAATAAATTTCGTTTCACGGCAACACCGGGATGCCCACCGCGTGCCCCCAGCCGGGCGAGGCTCGGAAACTGGCCACCACGGTCGTGCCCTTGGGCTGGGGACGCACCTCAGCGAAACAAACCTAGCAGCACTTCCCGGCTGGCGCCCGCGCGCTACAGCTCGGAGAAAACAGACCGGAACGCGCATGCGCCGCGCTGCGCCGCGCCGTCCCGCACCGCCCACCAGCCCTCCAGGCCACATTCTTCGAAAACCAGGACAAGAAAAGCGGCAACTGCGCCTGCGGGAAGAGAAGCCGGAGGGGCGGGGGCGGAGCCGGAGGAAGGGGGTGGAGGCGCGCGTGCGCGCTGATCCCGCCGGCAGGAAGCCCGGCGCGCGGGGGCGGGGTCTCGCGGCGGCAGGGGGCGGGGCTCTTGGGGCCGCCGCCGCCGCCGCGCATTGTGCAGCAGGCGGGCCCCCGCGCGGCAGGGCCCTGGACCCGCGCGGCTCCCGGGGATGGTGAGCAAGGCGCTGCTGCGCCTCGTGTCTGCCGTCAACCGCAGGAGGATGAAGCTGCTCCTGGGCATCGCCTTGCTGGCCTACGTCGCCTGTGAGTGCGCGCCCGCGGCTAGGTGGGGAGCCCCATTCATTCCCCGGCTCCGCGGTGGGCCGGGCGGCGGTGGTGCGGAGCCCCGAGGCGGCCCTGCAGCCCCGCGTTGGTCCCCGCCCCGGGCGGGACCGGCGCTTTCTGCTCCCACCCCTTTCCACTCTTGCAGCAAAGCGGGCCAACTTGGGCGCACACCCCCGACAGCTTAGGCCCGGGCGCGGACCCCGGACGGAGGGGCCCTTAGCCGTCCTCGGGCGGCCCCCGGTCCCTGCCTCCTGTCCGGGGAACTCGGCGGCGGCGCTGTCGTCCACGTCGCGCTGGGAGCCGGTGAGAATCCCGGCCGGCGACTCCGGAGCGTGCCGCGTGGGGATACCCTTGGGGACACCCGCGGTCGCGCCGCGGTGTTGGTTAAGTCGGATAAAAATACTGCGGCCGTTGGCAGAGCCCCCGCTCCGACTGTTTGCTCCTCAGGAAAATTACTCAACGTTTAACTCTTGGGGAGCCAAGTGTGGGCGGCCCCCCGGGCCGCTGCCGTGGCCAGGTGTTGGGGCGCACGGGCACCCCCATTCTAGGTTTTCCCCCGGGGCTCGGCGGCCGGGCCCAGCGGGCAGGCAGTTCGGTGGCCGGGCGGGGCGTGCCTGCAGCTTCGCCGTGCGCGGGTCTAGTTTCTGTCATCACTCACAGCGTGCTGCCTGGAGACGGGGCAGGAGGGGCACTTCGCAGGCAGGTGGTGGGCTCTCTGCTTATTAGGGAAGTCAGAAACCGTCCTTTTTAAGATCTATTCGTTGGGCATATGTTTTAATTGCTGTTGTTAATACGTCACCGAGTACCGAAATTGGACTGGAAATAGCTCCCAGTGTGAGCTGCGTTCGAATGCTAGCCACCGAGACACACTGAAATGAAATCACCTGCTAACTTGTTGAGTTATCAAGATCTGATTCCCGAGGTTAGTGGGGACTTCACTTGTCTGAAGTGACTTCAGCTGAGCTCTAAGAAGGCAAGTATGAGTAGATCCAGCCTGTCTGCTAGAGCCCAGCTGTTCAGGAGGTGGAGCTGGAAAACCCCAGCAGGACTCTGGGTTGCTAGGGGAGGTTTCAGGCCTCCGATGGGTGTTAGATGTGAGTAGTTTTGCAAGGGAGGAAGAACTAGTCTGAAGTGTGTGTGGTCAATCTTGAGTAAGAAAGCTGAGACCCAAGAGGAAAGACCATTTAAAGTTGAATAACTATTTATTATGGCAATAATACTACCTACATTTGTTCAGTGCTTAACTGTGTATGTGAGTCTTGATTCTTAGTGCCATTGTCTGAATCATTCAGCAACCCTGCGAAATCGGTGCTATAATGATTCCTATTTTAGAGATGAGGAAGTTAAGGCCAAGAGAGATTAGCAAATTTATGGATGATCACACAGATAGCAAGAGAAGGAAGGCCAAAATTTGAACCCAGAAAGGTCTAGGAGCAGGAGCTAGAACCCAGGTCTTCCGACAGCAGTTTCCATTTTATTTTGGGGATATTCTAAAGTTGCCGCAAGGGTTTAGAATTAATAAACTAGGGGAGTTATGGAGTCATGGTTTTTTTTTTTTTTTTTTGAGACGGAGTCTCGCTCTGTTGCCAAGGCTGGAGTGCAGTGGGGTGGTCCCGGCTCACTGCAAGCTCCACCTCCCGGGTTCACACCATTCTCCTGCCTCAGCCTCCCTAGTAGCTGGGACTACAGGCGCCTGCCACCACACCCGGCTAATTTTTTGTATTTTTAGTAGAGACAGGGTTTCCCCATGTTAGCCAGGATGGTCTCGATCTCCTGACCTCGTGATCTGCCCGCCTCGGCCTCCCAAAGTGCTGGGATTACAGGTGTGAGCCACCATGCCCGGCCGGAAAGTTTTTTTTAACCTGTTATTCATCTAACCAGGAAATCTTACCAAGTCCTTACTGTTGTCGCTGAACTTGGCACCAGGAGACACCATGGGGTGCTAGAACACCTGGTCTGTGCTGTGATGGTACAGACCGTATACCACAGTCAGGCACATTGGTTCTCAGACTTAAGCATGCATCAGAATCACTAGAGGGTTTTTTAAAAACACAGACTGCTTGTCTCCCTCCTCAAGATTCTGATTCAGTTGGTCTGAGCTGTGGCCTGAGAATCTGCATCACTAACAGGTTGTTCTGTATGCTGTTGCTGTGGCCTGACCCCACTTTGAGACCCATTGGCCAAGATGGTGAGGTGGGCATGAATTGGAAATGAAGGTTAAATTACAAACTGGTGTGAGGGAAAGGGATGAATGAGAACTGTGGCAGGAACTCCTGAGTGAGAGCAATCAGGTATGTTTGTTTTCTTGAGGAATCAAAAAGTGAACTGAGAATGGATGGCTTATGTAGGAGTTAACAGGGAGGTCATAGGAGAGAGCAAGTTGTAGGAGGAGCAGTGTGTGCAGAGGTCCTGCGGCAGCCAAGAGCAGGCAGTATTCTAGGAATGCAAAGAAGGATGGTATTGTTGGAGTGTGAAAACAAAATTACAGCCATGAGGCTGCCCAGGCAGACAGGGGCCAGAGCAGGCAGGTAGGCCTGGGGTGCAGCCCACGACATGGGTGATTTTAGCTATGAGGGGTTTAAAACAGGGTGGAGGCAGTGTTAATAAGGAACAGGTTTGCTAAGTCTGAGCCACTCTGCGGGGAAATACGTTACAGGGCTTGTGATTGATAACACCCAAGGACGCTGAAAATGTAGTCCCTCAACCGTAATGTCTGTGTTTTCTAATCTCTGCTTTTCCTAATTAATAATCTTGTCCTCCCTGTTACAAGTAAACTCTCACCACTGTTTGAAAAAACTGTCCATACTTCCCAATTCTATACACCCTCACTGTTAGCCAGTCTCCGTTGCAGAAATGCCCTCCCTGTTTCGGGAACAGAACTCAAGTTCTGTTAGCCTTTCTCCTTCTGCTCCTTACATCTTTCCCAAAGCCTACTTACTCTGGCCCTGAGTCTCCTCCTTGATACCACATAACTCTTCTTCATGTCTTGGGGTTGACCACCTGCCAACTTGCGTTGTACTTGAGTTCTTTCCCGTTCATATGTTGGCTTTTTCCTCAATGAAATCCCGATTCTGAGGACAGGGATTGTGTCTTATGTGTTTCAGCCCTTGTAGCATTTATAGCAGTGCTCATGGCTCATTGAAAGAACTCAGTTTCTACCCTTTGTACTGAATCAAAAATCAGGCCAACCTACTAGGTATCTCCTGGGCAGACTCGGCTTGAATAACCTTTAACGTATTATTTTTTTGACATGCATATAGTATAAAAAGGTAAGTAGCCTCTACGGGGCCAAACAGTATCCCCTGCCACCATTTCCCTCTCCCCAGAAATAGGCACTTTACTCCTTTTTTTTTTTTTTGATACAGAGTTTTGCTTTTGCTGCCCAGGCTGGGTTGCAATGGTGTGATTTCGGCTCACTGCAACCTTGGCCTCCCAGGTTCAAGTGATTCTCCGGCCTCAGCCTCCTGAGTATCTGGAATTACAGGCATGTGCCACCATGCCTGGTTAATTTTGTATTTTTAGTAGAGACGGTTTCTCCATGTTGGTCAGGATGGTCTCAAACTCCTGACCTCAGGTGATCCGCTGGCCTTGGCCCCCCCGCAGGCTTGAGCCACCGCACCCAGCCCCTAGGCACTTCATTTCTTTTAGCTGATTATTTTGGTATTTATCTTTGTGCCATTGAATCACCTGGCTTCCTGATTTTTCAGTTGTAGATATTACCTAGTGACTTTGTTCTTTGGGAGATGATTTTTTTCTTCTCTTTGCCCCCGTGCATGCTCTCTACCCTCCTGTATAGATGTGGTATAATCTCACGGAGATCAACATGCAGTGTTTACAAGCGTGACTATGTAAATGCTGTTCTAGTGAGTCATGTACGTTGCTTTTTGTTTTCTCCAGCGAGTAATTGGCCGGTGTTCTAATTTGCTTGCTTTCTATGTAGTATGACAGATCCCACTGCAAACTCTTTGCCAGTTGTCGCATCTTCCCCCACGATGTTCACGGGCATCAGGATGCCCCTCTGTCAGCACCCCTTCCTGAAGAAGGGCCCTGGAGCCTTCTACTGAAACTTGTGTGTGCATCTGGGGATGAGCTGCCAGCCTCACCACCTGCACCCACATCAGCCTGGACGTGCCCACCGCAGGGCTTCTGTCTCCTGACTTCTCCTCCTGACTCCCCCTTGTTTCACTCCCTGGTTTGGATGTGATGGGAGGTGAATTTTGAGACTTTACCCATAAGTATGTTTTCTGCCTTCATGTCTGATAGATTGATAGTATAGAATTACACACAAAAATTTCCTTTCGAATTTTTGAAGCATCGATCCAATCCTTTTTAGCCTCCAGTATTGTTGAAGAGTTTCAAGCCAGTCCTTCTCTTTCTGAAGATTGTGGCGTCTTCCTTTCATCCCTGGTCATCAGTGTTCACCACACATGTCCAGCCCCCTGCCCCCCAGGCTCTTGGTAGGATTGCCCTCCCTTCCTCACTCCCTGAGCTTGATGGCCTCACATGGTTGCTGTGCCAGTGGCCTGCCCGGGAGCTGAGCGGA